TTGTCATTAATCACTGTGTAGATGGGTTGAAAATCCAAATCCAGAAGTAGTTTAGTACATTGCCACCATACTTGAAACATAGCACCTGCCTAGCCACAATCCCTGAAGCAATTAGATGAAGCCTGGGGTGCAGTTTTGCTGTTCTAAAAAGTTCCAGCTACCAGACCATTAAAGTCGTATTAAACCCTCACAGTGACATAAACATTATCCAGTGATCTATGTTTTAAATTCTTACCCTAGCACTTACAGTTTGCAACTTTAAACACTGCTGGCTCCTGCTGTCTTGGTGCTGCTTTCCTGAACTTTCAGTCTTCACAGGAAAGCATTAATCAGTCTGCTAGCATGGAGAAAGGTGGGCAAAAGAGGAGGAAAGAGCTGCATCTTGCCATCCTAGGTTTTGAGACTGTATGTTTCTATGGGTGCACACGGTAAAGAGAGATGCAGCTATAGTCTGTGCAGGCAATGGTGACTCTATGAGATGCTGCTAAGGCTAGGGTTGCAGTCATTGTACCAACTTTAACAAAAACATAGGCAAGGATTAAAAAAATATAAAGAAGCCACATACCTAGTTGGGTTGATATACTAAAGGCAAATAGGTTGTTTATTTTGCAAGGCAATTTTCCCCAGAGCTTAATGAATGCTGTGAAGTTTCACTTTGCCAAGAATACCCAATCATTTGTAAGAAAAATAAAAAAAACAGCATCTTTGCTTGCAGGTGATTTGACCATGGAAATCAGCAGAGTTTTCATCTTATTTTCTAAGCTTCGGGGCAAATTTATGTAAAGGTGCATGTAAAGGTGCTTCTGGATTGTCTTGATAAGTCTGGTGTCAAGAATAGAAATTATTTTTTTTTAAACTATAAAAATCTCCCAAACCAAGAGGGCAGAGATGTGGACCACCTCTCCAGATCTGCCAATATATATTTGAAGAAGGGAAAATAGTTGCACTAAAATTTTTTTTTGTTTTGAAGAGGGTTACTTAATCCCTAAAAATAGTATAGATTTAGAAGCCTATTGGAAACCTTTTTTTTCCAATTAGTGCAACAGTTGGAGCATTACATTTTATGAAGAGTCAGTAATTTGTGCCTAATAACCATGAGGCCTAGGATCCTGACAAAAGTGTCTGGCTGTTATGATCCGCCAGGTGGTGCCTCTGGCTGCCCACTTGACGGACCTACCCAAAGCGTGGAGTCTAAGTCCTGGTCTGTGCTTTCACCAGGGCCCCTGATGGTGGGGATGGACTTGTAACAGACCAGGACCAGGTCACGACCTCTGAGCAGGCCCACCAGTGGCAGAGGGAACCTCCGGGGATGTATAGGTACCGGGAGAGCCAGATGTGAGGAGGCCGGCAGGACCTAGCAGGATGGATCACGAGCAGTGGTCCCGTGGGGTAAGCGAGGTACAGAATCGGCAGGCGGAGAGTAGTCAGGTCACACGCAGGGTCAGCAGGATTAGTCAGTCCGCAGATAGGTCAAACAAGCCGGGAGTCAGGAGGGGAGTAGGCAGAGTAGTCAGGACAATCCGGGTCAAACACAGGAGAAGGCAGCGTAGTCAGGACAATCCGGGTCAAACACAGGAGAAGGCAGCGTAGTCAGGGCAATCAGGGTCAATATCACAGGTTCAGGAATTCAGGATCACAGATAGACCTTGCGGCAATCTGTGACAGTGCAGGGCATCTTTAAATATCGCGCCCTGCACTGTCATTGGCTGCACAGGACGCACCCCCGGGCTGTCATTGGCCGCCCAAGGCGCGCCCGCGGCTCCTACTGCACTTGCGCGGCATCCTGTCAGCCGCGGCCCCCGGGACCTGGTGCTTGTGTCCCGGCGTGAGCCGCCGCTAGTGCGCGTGCGCCGGGGGAGGCGCCGCGGCGGTCCCTGACACTGGCAAATTAGGAATGGTCTTTAGAGGGGGAACATCAAGTACATGAGCATATTGTGTGTTGAAAGGGCAGATTTGTGCTCTACCTGACCACATATTACTCCCTTGATATTCAGATTGGAGAAAATTGCTATCTCAAGGGGCCCATTGCCAGTACTAACAGGAGTGGCTGTAGGGGGTGAACCCTTTCAGGAGCACTTTTGAATCTGTATATCTGAGAATGTATGTCTTTTGATTGAATTTGGGCCATCGGGGCTGCAGATAGGGTCCCTAGTAGGAACTGAGCTCCAAAATGCATAACCTCTAAGAATATGTAGCCCCATGAGAGTCTGTTAAAAGCCATTTCTGGGTCCAGCGTTATAAACATCATGTCCTTGGGAGTACAAGAGTCCTAATTAAAGTGGATAGCTGACAGTAGGGTCAATGTTCTGTGAGTTTGTTCCTGGGTTTGTCTATTGTGTATGAAACCTGTTTGTTCCTTGTTTTATATATTGTTCTAAAATGTGTATACATATAGCTAAGGTTTTCATTAGGATTTAAAGGAGAGTCCAAAGTTATAGTAATAAAATTGACTATTAGCAGAAAAAAAAATCAAATTTGTTTCAGTGGCCAAATGGACTCTGTTTATCAGAGCCGCAAAACAAATGCAAATATTAAAATCATAAATATAAAAATAAATAAGCAAATATAAAATGACAGATATAAAAGTCAAGGGGTGTATATCTATTTGCATATAAAATCCAAATCAAGTAAATAGCAGACTAAGAGATAATATCATCTTACACACAATTACCAAAGATCACAACACCTTATAGGAAACAGTAAAACTAATAAATTGATAGGAGATATCTCAGTAAAAACAGGACAATAGCCCATATGGAAGAAAAATATATTTGAAATATATTTTAAAAATATTCTTCCAAATATATTGCCATATATTTGAAATGCTACAATTTTGGCCATATTCAATATATTTCTCTTTCAATAGATTTTTATTTTCGATATCAATAAAATAGAATACAAACACCTCCCTGAAATGCACGGGAGGAAAACAAAAAAGTGCAATATTTCCGTCAGTGAGGACATATAGTCACATTGTAGCCTCCCAAACCACGAGGGGGGACCAGAAGCCCATCTATCCATGTCGCCCAACAATTTCTTAAACAAGGGGGGATAGTTTTTCCGGTACAATGTCTTGAGAGAAGGAGTCAGCTGAATACCCAAAAAAAAGCAGAGAGTCATTTTGCCATTTAAAAGGGAAGGTCTGTTAAAAGTTACTGACAGTGAGATCATCTAGAGTCAGGTTTAATGCTAGCGATTTTGTGGGATTAACTTTTAAACCCAAAATAAGGGAGAAAGAGTGTAGGTCTGCAAACAAGTTAGGGATTGACGTGATAGGTGACGTAAGTAACATCAAAAGGTCATCCACAAATAAAGCACATTTATGTATCCCATCCCCACATCAAATGCCCTGGATATCTCAGTTATTTTGAAGCTTAATAGCCAATGGTTCAAGGGCTAAGATGAACAGGATAGGAGACAATGGATATCCCTGTCTGGTGCCCCTGTGGATGTTGGTAAAGTCTGATTTATAGCCCTTAACTGACAAGGGTGCCTTTGGTGAACTATATAGAACATACAGTATGTGAAGAAAGTGTCGTCCAAAACCATAACATTGTATAGTCTGAAAGAGATAGTCCCATGACAGAGAATCAAAAGCCTTATGTAGGTCAAGGGATAAAAGCATACCTTTTCTAGTGCCGTTGTCGTCCCAATTTGATTGCAATGCCGAAATTACATCTATGATAATGTCTGGTTTGATCGAGAGCCTGCCTACCTGGCACAAAACCCACCTGGTCCAAATGGATGGATGTCGAAAGAAAAGAAATATTCAATATATCTCAAAATATATTTCAATAAATATATATATATATATATATATATATATATATATATATATATATACTGCTTGTTGAAATGTGTTTTTATTACAAAATATATAAAAAATATTTTTAAAAATACTTTTCAAATATATTGTATGTTTTTAAAAATACAAATCTGCATTTTTGGAATGCATTTACAAATATATGTAAAAAATATATGTTAAAATTACTTTTTTATATGTTAAAAAAACTGAAGAATATATTTTTAAAAAAATGTATTTTTAAAAAATATATATTGTTTAAATATATTCTTCAGATTTTTTTTAACATCGCTGGTGCCATGCAGGTCTCCTGTCGATTTGTCAGTATATCTGTTTGCCTGCACGGGATGTATGAACTAGCAGATGTACTGACAGGAAGAATCAAGTTCAAAGGTGAACTTATCCTTTTAAAAGAAATGTGGCAGTAAACTTAAATGAACAGGCTATGAGAATTGCTGTGTTTAGAACATCATATAAATGCACTCTTTGTAACAATTGCATCAACAAGCCTAAATCCACAAGTATGTTCTAGCAGTATTTCTCAACCTTTTGTCAATCAAGGCACCCTTTAAAATTATGCAGAATCTCGAGTCATCCCATTCTAAAATGTAAAAAACTAAACTAATAGTTTTACATCACGCAGCAGCATTCACACATGTAGGACACCCAACATGATTTATTTTTTCCAAAGAAAATACTAATTTGCACACTGGTATGAACTAGTACAGCAATGTGTCTCAGCTAATGTGACCCCAGTGCTGACAAAGAGGGACAGAGGAGGGGCAAACAAGGATGCAGGTACCCAACATCATCTTTATAAATCATTGGTTGTTAGGACACCAGCGGCTGGAAGGTTGTAATGGTATACAATGAAAACCTGGGACTTTGTGTGACTAAAAGGCAGGTGTGATCCACCTGCTGGCTGGTATAAAACTTTTGAGCAATTTGTAAGCATTTTGCCAAGGCACCCCAGGGATCCTGGGCACCCTGTTTGAAAAAGTCTGTGTTATGGTATCGTCATTGTAATTGTGTATCAAAGAGATTGATACTTTTGTATCTCTTGCAATATGTTATATAAGAAATAAAAGCATGTCTCAGAAAATGAGGTATTAATTAGACAATTATTTAAAGCATAAACACACACTTAACCGCTGCACTGCCACCCTATAGCAGAAATACTGCTTCAGAGTGGCAGTGGTGCGCAAAATCAACCGCAGCTTTGGCTGTCAATCACCGAATCTGGGCTGGTGATTACTCACCGTCACCTGGTGATCACCAAGTAATACCGATGGGGGATTGAACTGTATGTAAACAATACAGTTCTCTCCCCTGTCAGCTCCATCACACTGCTTTGTATGGCTCTGCATAGCAGAGCCATACAAAGCAGTGTGCTTACAGTGGAAACCACAGGCACAGCCCCATAGTAAAACACACACAGCACACAGTTAACCCTTTGAACACCCCAGATGTTAACCCCTTCCTGCTCAGTGCCATTAGTGCAATGTCAGTGCTTTTTATTAGCACTGATCACTGTATTGGTGTCACTGGGGATGTCAGTGACACAAAGTCAGTTCCCCCCAGTGTCTGAATGCCCACTGCAGTCCCGCTATAAGTTGCTGATCGCCGTAGTTACTAGTAAAAGAAAAACTTTCACCACTTGTAAACAATATCACTTTCACGTAGACCATTTTTAACAAAGACATGTAGCAGAACACATTTTGCCCTAAATTTATGACGAAATATGATTTTTTACATTTTTTTATTGGACGTGTTTAATAGCAAAAAGTCAAAAATATTGTTTTTTTTTCCCTCAAAATTGTCGAGCAAAAACCATGTGATTTCCCTGCGGTTGTGTTTTTAAAAAGGTGCATGCGCCATTCTTTTGCGGAAAATGCAGCCTATGTAGCCTATTCAAATAATTGGGCTGTCATGCCCATGTAAATGTGGGCTGCACAGCTTGCACATTTGTGAAACAGGGCTTAATAGTAGTCTCATCTGGAGACCACTACATTTAATAACATACAGGGATTTACTACTCAGGTAGTCTTAGGTTGTCCAGGGAATGGGAAGCACAATGTCATGGTTCATCCCTACAAATATAAGGGTACTGTTATATCACAAGAGATAGACCTAAATCCCAACACCAGACTACATTTTGTTTAGTTTTTGAAAAGAGTGTGGAAAGTTGGATCCTTTGACAGGCTTTTGTTGCTGTCCAAGACAACAATGGTAAGATTGTTTCACATCTTACCTTGTGACAACCAGAAAATGTAATATAAAACATCTCACGTATGACACGTAACTCACCTAGGCAGGAAATGATTGGAAAATCTATGTTCTATGGAAACTTTTATTGCCATAAAAATTCAGTTGTGTGACAAGTTTGTGGGTTTTGTAGCTGATTGGTAGTTCAAACAATGAGTTAACTTCTTGCCAGAAGTACTGTACATTTCAGGGCTTTTTCTGCCAACTTTTATTTAAAACAAAGCAAAAGTTCTAAACATGAATATCTTCCCACGCAGGAGGGTCTCACCATCAATGCGAACAAAACATAGAATTCAGCCCCCCCTGGCTCTTCATCAGCCCTGCAGCTTAGGCCTCATGACCTTAAAACACATCCCAGTGCTCGAGCACAAAATGCTGTACCTCTGCTCTGTGTCTTTGCTGCAGCTTCCCAGCTGCTCCATCTTTCATAGACTTTCTTTTACTCACAGGCTTGTACCTCAATCTGTCCTGACCTAGACACTATGGAGCAAACCTGCACCTCTCACTGCTCCCTTGCAATCACTGACCCCATCGGGAGGGTGGGGCCATTGAGTTTTGAACCCAGCTCCAATATGAAGGCAGTACACACCTGCTTCATTAGTGTGCTTGTTTCCTCCAAAATCTGGCCAAAACTGCCTTATCACACAGTGACATGAACGTGCCCTGTCACAATTGTTTCCTAAAAACCAACAAATATAAGAAATTGCCACATAAGGACTGCTCATAGTGATAATCAAGGCAAATGACAGTGCCTCCTGATAGTCCACATCCTCCAGCAAGGTTTACTCATCAAGTAAGGTAAATTCTGCACAACCTTTCCACCTTCTTCTCCATCAAAATATGGGGAAGCGTGTGACCTCTTCCATGTAACAGTGCTGAGGCCTGAACAACCAATTGGAAGGTCTGAACACTGTCACCTGGGGAGCAGTGACATTAGTACATCTGAGTAAGCTCTGATATCATCCAACAGAGGTTATTCAGGGTGGATACATGCAGTGGGGAGATGGTCAGAATATGGATTGGTGAATATACCTTACTGAAGAGATGTTAATAAACATGCCTAGTAGTCTTGCATTAACCTTTGGGAATGATAATGCAGAAACTTTGCAGTACCAATAAACAAGAAGCAGAGTCTATTTATTGGTACTGCAAACATGGCTGCCCCATTTTCACATAGTATATAATTACAAACTATAAATAGAAAAACATAATTTAGAACATTGACACACATTGATAAGGTTTACATTAAGCTGATCACTTTAAGGTGTATATCTTTAAATGAAAATAAAACTCTTTATTTTACCTTTAATAACAGACTAATAATCCAGTAGTAAATGTATCTACTACTGTTTTGAAACTGCATGTAGATCTCGATCTTTGTTCTGCTTATAGCAGCTGCATAAATTAACCAATGACATTATCCCCAAATGGCACAGGCTTTCATGTGATACCTTTTAAGATGTAGTTATGCAGAAAGTGACAACTAGACCTTATAAATAATGAAGTGAGATAATATGACCTGGAAGTCATAAAACAGACACATATCCTCAGTGCTGTAATTTGCACAAAAAGACTATAATCACCGGAGGCTTGCTTCAGGCATTACTTTAACTGGTGATCTGTTCATCACAAGACATAAATTAGCTCTTGGAGGATTTCCCCCCCCCAATTTTCTGGTGCACGGTTAAATTCTACTTCATATGCTCTTATCCATTTAGAAACTTAAAGTTTATGGTGATATTATAAAGATAAGTTCATGTGTCACAGAATGACTTTGCCAGAGATGTGCAGGACTGCCTGGAGGACTTTTGCAATTAAGTTAAAAAGTAATTCCATTGTGATATCTGTGATAACTAAATGCATAGGAAATGTGGGAAAATGTTCAAGACTCTGCTTTACATGTAAAATGTAGCTTGAGGTGCTTGGGTGGTCAATTTTCCTTGACGGGTCACGAGATGCATGAAAACCACCTAAAATAATTGGCCATGAAGAAGGTGTGAATGTGAAGGCCCCAGAAATCAGTGTTTGACACCAGAGACCACACAAATTGGGGCATATTGGTTCTGTTGACACAATGAGATCTTTTCACCTCTGCTCAAAAGAACATGGTTAAATGTTATTCTAGTAAAAAAAATCTAGTGGCTTGATAATTCTGTTAACAGTGGCATATGCCATTGTAATGGTATCCTAAATGTCAAATTCAGTCAAACAAGAAATAGGAAATTTCTCTGTAAGCATGTGCTGCATAGCTTATTCCCAACTCCAGCCAAAACGTGTTTGTTAATTTTTAACAGAGTGGGGAAGGGATAGAGCCACTATTGGGTTTTTATTTGTAGCCTATACCCCTATTGGAGATATTTTCCCTCACTGCATGCCCGTAAAGGAAGTAATGAGAAATATCTACAGTGGTACCATAGATTAAAACAGAACATATTTTTCAGAACAATGAGGAAGAGTTAGAACATTTTGTCAGGTTATTATTAATGCCTGTGTCTTCCTGTCCTGTGACAGCCTTTCCCTTCATTTTGTTCTGATGCCACAGGAACATGGAGGGAGGTAAAACCTTCCCATATAGGATCACTGACAGCAGACTTGGCAGCAGTATTCCTCTTCTCAACTCTTATCTAAAGCTAAAACAAAGGTTTTTGCTGGATTTGAGCTTTAAAGGATCAGTCCTTTCAATATTGCAGCCTTTACCAGAAATCTGTCATCTTCCCTGTTAGATTTTTAAATTGTAAGCTTACCGTAGTAGGCTTACTGAGCTTATTACTTATGTCATGACTTATCTTATGTTGTACATACTCCCATGGTGATATTGCTGTACCATAGCTTCCATTCATGGTGGATTTAGGCAGTTCGTGGCCCTTTTTGTTTTCCAACATCTCCTATTAGCATAAATACATACAAAATACAACAGGAAAAGAAAACCCTACTCATTGTAAACCTACTAACTGCCTCAACAGAGGTGCAGAATCAGGCACCTCAACCACAGGTATATCACTTATAGGGGTCGATTTACTAAAGGCAAATAGGCTTTTCATTTCGCAAGAGCATTCCTGAGGGAATTTTCCCAAGAGCTTAGTGGTTGAGGTGAAGCTCTGCTGACTTCCATCATCCAGTCACGTACAAGTAAAATGCTGTTTGTTTTTTTAGTTTCCTTGTACCTGATTGGTTCTTTTTTGCAAAATGAAACTTCACCCAATTCACTAAGCTCTGGGGAGAATTGCTTTGCAATGTAAAAAGCCTATTTGCTTTTACTTAATCAAACCTAAAGAGTTCTATGAGATATAGAAAATTCTCAGTATCTCCCAACAACCAAACAAACTTTTAATTTATTATGCATTGCATAGAAGGTAGCAGAAGCAACTTCTTATTTATGTGATACAATATCTGCAGAAAGAATAACACTACAATTCTGAGTAGGAAAGTGGAACGGAAGCAAGTCTTGCTTGTTGGTAGAGTAGTTTTTTTTTTTCTTCAGTACCTGAACAAGTTGATAACAGGAATTGCCTGTGCGTGTAATGCCACTGCAGTAAAGTGAAGGTAACCGCTCTATTAAAGATGGTGATTAATTAGACTAAACAAGGGGCGAGAAATTAAAAGCTGACAAGTGAGTGGGTAATTAATTAGTCCCAGGTATGTTTTTCAGACACTGTTGGAAGCTTTCAATGTCACTGCTATAAATGTACTTTTCTAATTTTCTTATCAGAAACACCAAACTAATAATGCATTAGGCTCCTGCTGCTTTGTCCATTGACTTTTTCAGCTTTGTTTTCCTTCTGCAGCACTGATGTGTAACAGCGTATAGTTTGTGTTCCATGTGTTTTTTTTCAGCATTAACAGCTTTTGTGTTTCAGCCTCTCCAGTGAATTAAATTATAGTGTGCCATTAAAGCAGCTCTGTATCTAAATATAGAGCAAAATTTTTATCAGCGTTGTGCTGGTAAGAACATTTTTACTCCTGTTGGATATTTGTCAAAATAAGTTCCTTGAACAATGAGAGTTTGTTAGCTGATCTCTGGTTTCTATGTCTGTCCTGTGTTAAAGCAGCTGGATTTTCCCACATGTTCTGAGAATTATTCCTGAATATTGACAGAAGAGGCGAGATTGAATTCTGTTTTTTTTTTTTTTTTTTTGTTCTTTTTTTTACTTTAGGTTTGGGAAAAAGAATAAAGATGATAAAGGAGGAAAAGTCGATCAGAAAGGTAGTCCTAAAACTGCCAGAAAGGAGGAGGAGCAAGATTTTGAAAGGATGAAGGAAGAACGTGACAGGTAAGAACTTTGAAAAGAAAATGGTTAGAAAATGAAAGTGATATATCCTTTAAAAACCAGCTGACCAGCTATGTGCAAATGGTA